GGTGGTATAACCAAAATCAAATAGTGCCTTCTCTTCTGGATTTGCTTAATGAGCTCCGGGAAGATCGAATGCTTCACTTTAGTGTGAATAATGGATTAATTGGAATTACCATATCACATATACGTCGTAGACTGCTGACAATAGTGCGATTTGGGAGGAGGTTCACAGACACAATCAGGCATATAAAAGAATCTCAGAATACCGTGATCTACAGTCATCTTTTTAACAGTTTCGAAACTTTTATTTCTTCTTAAATCTAATCAGTTGTTTAAGATCAGTGGTGGCTGCTACAGTTTAACTATGGCATCCTCTGAACACAGTCCTGAGAATGCATTTCTAAAGAAAAGCAATTATCATACCAATAAAATCACTACAGCACATTACGAATACAAGATTTCTTATCGAATTCTGTACATGTGCTAAAAAAGCAAACATCTAGTTAACGTTAGTATTACTAAACTTCTCGTAGGGAATAGATTATAGAATATTTCCAACCAGTCATGAAACCTATTGGATTCTTTGTTGTAAGTTAATTGAGTAACCTATCTTTGCACTGGTTAGTAGACTTCCCTTTACTTAGTTTATTCCGATCTCGAAAAATAATTTCCTACATCCTAAGTAAATTCTTAAGTTAGCATTTGTTATACTTTTCTTTCTCCTCAGTTCTACACCTGAACTTGTAGTTATCATTATAGTGTAAATTGTAAATGCTTCACTCAACAAATACTCGCCGAATACAGTGGCTAATGGTCGTGCTATGTCATGAATTGGCAAAAGTAGGAACTCATGGCCTGGCCAATGAATCGGGTACCAGGGCCTTAATGGTCTACAAGCTTAGCTTGCTTTGTAACCGAAAGGTCCTGGATTCGAAACCCGTTGGTTGGTGCGTACTGATGGAGAGTCCCAGAATAGGATGAAACAGCTGTCCAGTACTCCTTGGAGGTTTTCCAGTAGTTCTCTAACCGATGTCACTTCATGAGGAAATCCTGTTGTTGTTTCTAAATTAATGATTAAATTTTAGCTGGTTGAATGTAATCGACAGGGAACCTTGGACTTGGATTTCGTAATAATAATTAGCACTCGATAACAATTCATCAGTAGAAATTCGCATTGTGAATTTTATCATCTTTAGAAATTATGTTATTTTCCTTTTTGGCAAAACAATCATAAATTCCCTATTAAGGTAGAAATTGTATCAAGAAAGTTTAACGCTTCAGATATTTGTATTAAACGTGTGAGTATTTAATGCTGGTCGATTAGTATGAATTGATGAAAATCAATATAACCTAATTTTATGCATACAAGTATACTATAAATATCTATCCTATATTAAAGTTAGTAAATATCGGTCGATTACGTTGCATAAATATGAATTCGACAGCTACAAAACACACAGAAATTCAGCACAAACATTAATGCTGAAGGGAAATGAAATTACATATTATGGCATAAACAATGTTTAATCTTTAGTGTCCAATCAGAGTATCTAATTCAGTCCTAAATGAGGTTATCAAGTACCCTGATACTTCACTGGGCGATGAAGGATGAATAACAGAGGAAGCATAATTTTCTTTAACGCAGCAGATACGCCTCATAGATGGGTGGCAGTGAACAGGAAGTCTAGGTAAAAGGCTTTCTGTCGATTTCCTCCAGCAATCGAACATAAAATGACAAGTCAATGGGAAAAATGTTTCAATCTACAATGAGATATTTCAGAAGCGTTGGTAGAAATAATATGACCTGGGAATTTTAAATCAAGAATTTGATGTATCTCTTGACCACTTGCATTAGTGGTTAGTTTTTATCACATTCATTTTGGATGATGGCATTATCCACAGTTTCCCATTAGAAATTCGTTGTAAAAAGTGTTAGTGGGACATACGAAGTACTTTCTTGAATGGAGAAAGTTCATGAAGTTTCATATTATATAGAACAAAATTCCACCTAATCAGAAGGAAACAACGCGCTCTCCAAATGCTTCTCAAAGCAATCAATTCAGTCACTCTATGTATTACAGTCAAAACACAAGATTTCCTTATTAAAATTGTTTAATGTATATACCATATATTGAAACAGTATTATTTTTGGATGACGTTTCGAACACAATTCATTGTTCATAATCATATCAACTGCAGCTACACAACTATATAGACGGTATTCAAACATACGAATATTTCCAGTTGTATAAATTTTGTGTAATACTTTTTCATATGTATTGAGTTATCGTATGTTTATATTGTCAAGCTGATATCGGACATTAATCCTATTCAAATATGATTTTAGAGTTAATAACTTCCGTAAGTAACTCATACATCTTTTTTATTTATTGAGTGATGACTGCCAGCGGAGACTAGAAGATGTGTAACATTCAGAGGTACCTGTATCCACAGTCAGTGACAGTCTGCCTACTATGGCTTGACAATACCATCTGTTGTTTAAAACGTCCCCTTCCCCTATTTTCGGCATTCCAATCAGAAATATCAGGGGGGAAGCCACAAATATAAACAGGTAATGTTGAATCATGTCTGCTAGATTTATGGTTTAACAACCTAGTGGATAGTGTTTTGATATTTGAAACTATGGGTAATGGGATGACTTGTCGGTCCAGACACCAATACTAACATGGATTCAGGTACTTCTAGTTGACTATGTGTAAATAGGATGAAATGCCTACTCTAGATCCGACTTTTAATCGCCTATAACCAAGAAAGAAACGATTAGTTAGATACCATGATAATATAGGACATTCCTTTAAACAGCATGTATTGCCAAAATAAGATCAAAATATGATCAATTTTGTTCAGAAATATCAACGTGAAATCACATGTACGTGTAAATATTGGAATATATATTATTTTGTTCAATATATAAATATTCAGATTTACTGGATACCTTAATCGTTCATCGATTATTATTGATTATCATGTAAAACACCGATCAACATAAAAAGGTATATGATAATGTATTTAGTCTGAGATTCGACTATACAGTAATATAGAGTCACGAGCCAGAATTATTAAAAGGCTTTCCGATCTTTTTTATATGATATATTAAAATGAATGCCGACATAAAATGCAAGTGAATTTGTAGTCTATCCTTTTCACGTCAGCCTTATAAGTAAACCGTAAATGGAATATATATACGAATAGTTTATATATTAGTTTATTGTTAAACTGTCATTATATTATTTAGCTATTATTTTTAATTAGTTTCACCGGAATCACCTCATTATTGTCTGTAGGATATATCAATCTGTAGTATCGAAGTGCCTTTAAACCTTTCTAAAGGCTTGACTGCAATCCATGGGATACTACGTAACGAGATTTCATAAGAATGAGAACATCACAGTGAAAGTGACGAAATCTCAGAATGGATACAGAGGGCTAGGTTCGCATTTGCCAGTTTACACCGTCTCTGGAGTAGACGCGATATCCGCTATCGACCAAAGGACAGGTGTATTGCTCAACAGTCTACCCCGTCCTCCCTTATGGCTGTGAGACCTGGCCATTGAGAGTGAAAGATATGAAAAGATTAGCTGTCCTCAATCATAGGTGCCTGCGTTCTATCTCCCGTGCCAAGTGGTGTAATAAGGTAGGCAATATTGAGGTTAGGCGTCGAGTGCTAGGTAAAGAGGGGAAATCGATCGACGAGGCTGTGAAATTACATCGACTGAGATGGTTAGGACATGTGTTACGCATGCATGCCTTGTCATCGCCTTCCTCGACAATGGGCAATGTCAGCTGACATAGGGTCAGGCTGGAAAAGAGCTAGCGGAGGTCAAACAAAAACATGTCACCAGTCAATGAAATCTACAACAGTTAGTCTAAGCCACGTAGGAAGGTGTAGACTTCCTAACTGGTTGAGGTCCTCGGGATGGTGAAATCCAGTGGCTGGAAACAATTGGTGACATGGCTCAAAATCGTTGTCAGTAGCTGGTGAAGCTGCATCCATACCTTGTGACTTATGATCTCCAACGAAACTATATTGTTATTCGTTATTACTATTCCTTTGTCTCACACCTCATTTTACTGTCCCTGTTATGCATTTCTTTTTACTTTGTTCTCTTGCTTTGTATGCTACAAGGAGGGAGTGTGGCGACTTGAACTGCCGCACATATGTGCAAAGTTCTATGTCGAAAACAGACAGATAGAGAGAAAGTAGTATTTTCACTATCAGTGTAATAGACATCCTATTAGAGATTTGTAACCCAGCCATGAAATTTGGCACTTAGTGACGTTTTGACAACTTTGCCTTTTCAGTAAATGCCCTTTACATAGAAAATTTTTTTATGAGACACGGGAAACTCGGTAATTAAGAAGCTGCCCAGTACTCTCAGCTTTTTCAATGGTTCTCTAACTGATGTCAGCTCATGAGGAAATCCTGCAATCAATCAATCAAATCCCTACAAACCTATACTTGATTATCAATGAGAAGCTCACTGGCAACTGGCTAGTTGGTAGTTACCTGAGTTCTAGTGAGTAGTCGTTAACAGTAGGGTACAGTGGGTTGAAGGTAAGGCAGTAACTCATCGAGGAAGACACTGGCTGGTGTTCGCGCAGAAGTAGGAATTTATGGGCTGGCCGTTTGATTGGGTCACAGTGTCTGAATGGTCTATGAGCTCGCCTTATAACCAGAAGGTGGTGAGTTCGAATTCCAATAGGATGGGTGTCTACTGTTGGAGAGTCCCAAACTAGGCTGACGAAACAGCTTTTTAGTACTCCCTGTAGGTTTTCCAATAGTTCTCCAGCCGATACCAGCTCATGATGAAATTCTGTCACCAATGAAGAAGTTGTCATCTCTTTAAACTTTCGGTGTATACTGATTACTATTTGCAGTTGGGTTTTGAAGAAAAACTATTAAACAGTACTTTCAAAGTAAAATTTATTCACTCTCTTTAGTAACAACTCAATATTTATCCAAAAATGTATGATTGATTTTTTTCAAAGATATTTTATATAAAAATAGTTTAACACATAATTAAAAATCTATTGAGAATTAAATGAAAACAGAATTGTGTACACAAATAAAATTTGTCGTTAGCCATACATGTGTTATGTGTGTATTTATTAGAAAAGATATGAAAAAGGCGCAATGTCTAAAAAAATTAAAACAAAATTACAATTAAATAATAATCTAAAATCAAACTTGTTGTCAGTCAGTCCAAATATGGTCTCCAGACATCTTTACTATCTGAAGAAGTGATTGAACTCCTTTCATACGTTAAGATATTCTCCTTTGGTTGAAGTGCTATTAGTGAGGTATCCTCTTGTTTATATGTTTGATGAGGATAAGTATAACTATTTATTTGTAAATGTGTGGAATGTGTATTTTCAGTTGTTCTCAAAGGTGTTGATAATGATGAATACAAAGTATCAAAGTATCCACTGTCTGTTGTAAGAGACGGTAGTTGTATCGGTGTAGAATGATATTCAAAGTTTTGTTCATCTTTTATTCTTCTAATCGGTGTAAATGCGCTTAATTCGGATGGAATTAAAATATTGCTATCGTTTGGATTATAATTCTCCTTATTATTATTATTATTATTATTATTGTACATGATTGGTGATGATTGAGTCTGCATTATCGAAGTATCCATAGTATATAAATTCGCTGGAGTATAGTTATCATTATTGTTGCTGTCTGTTACTTCTTGATGTTTGGATAAAGATTTTGTTTGCACTGAATGACACATTTGTCTTAATTTTTCCTTTAAATCTATAAAGTAATTTTGTTTTTAAAAATGAGTGATATTATATGCTTTAATTTATTCATTGAGATAAAAATAAAAATATTTGAGTAGTATTTTATGACTGATCTTCACCTTCTAACTTCTGAAATGTCATATGGCAACCAGTTTCGTGATAAACAAATAAAAGTTTCTGATGTCTCTAAGTGACGTTGTTTCAAGGTTGAGCAATTAGTTTTTAAACCGCCGGTATACTTTAGCATAAATCTCTGAATTTGATTACTTAATAGAAGGATAAGTGTTAAAGGATTAAATTTTCACCAGGTAACCATATTCACTTTACTTTGTGTTATATAAGGCTAGTGCAAATATTATTGTACATCAACTTCGTGAAAGTTTTACAACTTATTAGCGCTTAAATACATAAGAGTAGTGGTTGCAATGTCTCTATGGTTCCCTGGAATTATACTAAATTTTTATTTTTAAGGGAAGCTGGTCATCAAGTCAGTAAATTCACGCCTTGATTAGACCTTAGTTAGTAACTAGTGTAGTGTGTCTAGTCCTATTTTTGTTGCAGACTGAATTCTGTCAGTCAGGTTTGCAATGTGACCACCATTCTAGGTACCTCGCCATCACAATGCACTTTGAATTGCTGACATTAGATTTTTGAAAACAATAGTCATGTTGCCTTGGACCTAAGTTTCGTGCTAACTGGCACTCGTGAACAGAGCGTATCTGCAACCTTCATGAAACTCATGTCCTTTCTGAGATTCAAACCAAAGTATTAATGTATCCACTACAGTCCTACAGGAGGTTAATTGAGAGTACCAATGGCTCACTGGTAACTTCTTTGACTGCAACACCGGGTAACGCGTGTTCAAATCTCAGAAGGGACATGAGTTTCTTCAAGGTTGCGGATACGCCTTGCTGTCTGGTGAGTGCTAACTAGCACGAAACTTAGGTTCAAAGCTTCCTGCTGATTGTCCCCAACAATCTAGTAATATCAAGTACAGGCGTATCTTCGGAAATTTTAAATAAAATAAAATGTATGTTACATGCAGGTATTCTTATCATTTGCATTTATTTAATCAGGAATAATCCTATTTTACCCTGGACAAACTGCAGATCTTATATAATATGGAATCATATATGCAAACCTCAAAGAATATAAAAACTATCTCAAATTCTGATGAACAATAAATTATACATAAAACGTTATTCTATATTATATTACATGAGACTATGTGATATCTAATCAATACTGAGTTACAATCTATCACACTACTGAAGCTGTATCTATGTGGAACCTGACAGAAATCTAAAACCCTTTAAATTAACACATTCTCCCCCCCATCAAGATGAGACAGAGATCAAGCGAATAAAAGTTAGTCAAAGCAATACAGTCCTAATAAACTGATGAGAAAATAAAAACCAATGATAATAGAGAAGTATAACGATTTGATGATGATTTTAACCTGGATATATTGGCTGCGTGGTATTTAATTCTGACTTAAATCACTTAATCCGTCGAGGTATGGATCCTGCTCAGCCCGTGTAAACAGAGAGTATGAAATTGCAGTTAACTATTTCTCAACCTCAAAATTTAAAATGAGTGTTAGGAAGTCTTGAAACTTCGTAGTGTCATCTAGACATTGACATAAAGTAGATCCGATAGACTTCTAACATTAAAAGTACTTGTATTTTTCTCATTGACTACTAATTACTACTTTTTTAGTTAATCTTCAATTGTGTTACAATAACTGAACATTAGAAAGAAGACTTACCAGGTCTTTCATTCAACAGGATTCCAACATTTCCAAAAACTTCATAACATATGCGTAAAATATCTACTTTTTCAATTTTTATCTGTTCAGAAATCTTTAAGAAATCAAAGTGAAAAAAATAATAATAAAAACGGGGAATTAATGTCGTAGATAAATGTATTAATCTGTACATATCTCTATCTGCTATCATACTACTTTCTGAATCCATTTTATAACTTTATAACATTTCAGGTAATAGATTCAGTTTCATGGTTGTCAGTACTATGCAGTTTACAGATTATCCCTTATTTTACCCATTTTTTTACAATTAGCTAAACATAGTACTGGCATTTTCAATGTATTCTACAATCTAAGCTGAGTCTAATTGAGCATAAATGTTTACCAGCCTGACTGTAAGTGAGAGAAAGGATTATCCAATGTTTTGATCGCTTCATTCTATCTAGTTAGCACAACTGTTTACAACTGCTCAGTTGAAATAAAGTATAATTATATTTTAATAGTTTACACACAATGATAAGTTTTGTTATTGGTAATATTTCGAGCAAAATTACTGCCCGTGTTCACACCACTGTTGGAATTGTTTTATTCCAGTTGAATCAACATAAGATTCCAGATCACATGTATACCAGGGATGTATTGATTGGGCAACAAGTGATCAAATTCCATCGTGTTGTCTGGGAAATAATAAACAAACTATAAACTCTACAGACCCTATTGATTATAACTCATTATTCGATCCTTTATACATTGTTAAATATGTTTCACTGAACAAACCATAGCGAAGAGCTTCATTGTTATTGATTTATATATAAATCATATATAACTGTATTACTTAATAACTCTAGTTTACATATCCATATATAAATAATCTTAGTTTTGCCTAAAGTGACTAATAGATTAGGGTAGACATAATTAAAATTCACATTGGTTATCTAATTTGATTACTCATCATGGAATACGGTTATCTACGAGATTGATGGTATCATTTAAGTTGTCCACGGGGATTATTGTTTTAGATATCTTGTGTTGTTGATTTAATTGGAAAAAAAACAAGTGGTGAACATTTTTAAATGACACTAACTTACTTCTAATCCAATTAAATTCATTGCAAGTTTATGCAATTCAGTCATCTGATTAGCAATACACGCACGTCGACTCCGTTCGATATTTTGTTTTTTAATCTGAAATTAAACGATGTTGATAATGAAACTATTAGTAATTGCATGAATGAAGATACTCACTATTACCACTCCTAAATGGTGAAAAACTTGATGATTACCCATATGGATTGAGAATAGATTTGGAATATTACATATAGGATGGCATAGAAAGAAATTTTTATTTTGCTGGAAACTTAAATCACAACAACTATAGAGTTAAAATATACGTGTATCGGGTTTTGAAGACCCAGGATCCAACCCCTGACAGAGTGATTGATAACAATAGTTGACAGGTATCAGACAAAATTCAAAAAACTGTCTGTTCTTCCTTGTTTTTATTATAGTGGTAATAATCATAATCATATCCTATCACCATTGACAGTGGAACCTAATTTTCCCTGTGAATATAACTATAGTCTAATAAATGATGTCTTAAAGCATCTATGTCTTTTATAGAAAAAGGGTCTTTCTGTAATACTGGGAAAATTATGCCTTGCCACAGATTTTCTCTTATTCTCACCCAGTAGTCCCGAAATCACATAAAAATTTCGAACTTAATCAAAATAGATCAGCTAACTCTAATGGATGTTTATAATACTTTGTGGTAAATTATCAGAAAGTGATGCTCATTTCGATATAAGTATAAAACTTTGGCAGTGTGGTAGAGTATAACTCCATTATGGATAAGATTTTATTTTGATAAATCACACAGTGTTGTACAGTTATATTAACTGATGACGTTTCGAGCACAAACTATTGCTCATAATCATATCAAGTTGATGCTCATTTCAGCGTCACGTCTTCGTCTGTAAGCTTGTGGCAGTAACAAATAATAAGATTAAGGTATAAACTATAAGGACTATCACTCATGTACACTACGTTCACAAAGAAGCCAGTGTATGTTTAATGTATTCAACGTTACCTCACTAGTGAATATAAAACAAATAGATTGTTGTTAATTACTATGGCATTACGTTGAAGTTATGTCTACTGTTTGTTTAGGTGTGTAGCATGGTATACTTGTGTTTACATCAGTTTTCACTGGAAAAACTAATATCAAAGTATTGCCACTGTATTTCTTGCTTATATACTACATCTCGCGCGTCAGTAGCTTAGCGGTAGAATGCTCCCCAACCATGTATGTGGTCCAGGGTTCGGTCCCAGGCCAATACATTCCTTCACCTCACTAAGCCGATAATAAAACTGGTAAAGAGATAAGGTTGGACATGAGGCTAGAAAACCCACTCCTTAAAAATAAAAACCACTGCTACAGAAACTACAAGCCACCTCTAGCTTGAAGCCCTATGTTTCACTGGGAACGTATAGGAATAAAATAATAAGTTAATTAAAATACTAAATCTCAGAGTATTTATAGAGTCGGAGTATTTTTTCCTAAGCATAGTATTTTAATATGTATCGTCAGGGGATCACAAATCAATGAAGTCAATAACTTACAAATTTTTAACCAAAAATATATAGATATAAAGTTATATTTGCATTTTTATACAGATGATCGTGTTTATGCCTGACACAGTTGCTTCTAAATAGACATTCGTATGTTTTATGCGATGAATGATGACTGAAGGTAAAATGAAAACCTGATTCGCTAAGATCAGCTGGTAGGGCATAGATCGTAGGTGGCTAGTCTGAATCCTGCTGTCATACAGATTTTCACTCCAACTTCAATTATCGTCATATACATGAATAATGGTAACATCAACATCCAGTGCCAATCACCATCAACGGGAGGGATTTGAAAGAGGTTACTTCATTCATTCAGTTATCTAGTTAGGGAGCATTGTCTCAACTACAGGAAGTCGGAACGGACGAGGATGTTAAATCGAACAAGAACCGGGAAGGCGAAAAATACATTCATCAACCTGAAACAACCAATCTGGAAATCTTCGTCACTCAGCCACCATCAACAACAAAATTCGGTCGGATTTTCAATACAAACGTCAAGTCAGTCAGTTCTTCTATACGGATCAGAAACTTGGTGGGTGGGTCACAAAGAATATTTCCAACAACCTGTTGCAGACATTTATCAACAACTGTCTTCGCTAGATCTATGCTGAAGATCAGATGGCCGGGCCGGGCCGGAAAGAATCAATCACCAACAAGAAACTATGGCTGGGAAAAAACAAAACAAGAACCAATCGCCAACCAACAGATATGCAGGAGAAAGTGGATTGAGATGGATTGGACACTTGCTGAGGAGGCCGCTGGGTGACATCGCACGTCAAGCCCTCGAGTGGAACCAGGCCGAAAGGGAAGCGGCGAGTAGGACGTCAGTGCGAGGGTGACGTGAAGGAGATCGTGTGGAGAGGAGTTGAAAGAGTATGGACTAACATGGGTGCAGGTGAAAAGTACAGCAGAAGGAAGACAGAAGTGGCAAATGGAGACGTGCAGTTGAAGCCCTATATTCTACTAGGAACCCACGGGAACAATAATAATAATGCATCAATAATGGTATGTCAAGTCTTCATCATTAGGTACGTAAACTGATCATAGTATACTAATTGTCATTATTAAGTTCAGTCGTAAGGAATTCAAGTCTGACTTTTCCTGATACTACACCTTTAAAATAGCCAGTCCTACTGAATACGTACAGTTTCAGTTTTTTAACAAATGCAAACTGCATAACAAAACGTAAAAAAACTTACTCGTCTTGTTTGTTCTCTTATTTCTCGTGGAACAGTTGATTTTCTACCTCTTTTAGAATGTATTTTGGTAGTAGATTCTTCGTTTGTTGAAGGGATACACTTCTTTTCATTACTTTCTGAATTATTTACATCCAAAATATTTTGATTCATTTGTAAATCCATCATTAAAAAAGTGTAGTAATATCATTCATTGCATCATAAATGCATGTCATATTTATATAGGTTCCGTTATGCGAATGACTCAATATTACATCCAATCAGATTATTTTTTGCTCAAGCATAATTTTGTGGGAGTGAGGTTGGTGGCGGTGGCGGTGCATAGTGAGGGAAGAGAAAAATTAGGGTACTCTTCTTTTTTCCGTTGTTTTTGTTGTTGGGATGCTGTAAAAAATTTTGTACCGATAACCAATGACAAGTGAGCAGTACACTATATTGTAATAATGTTACGACACTCTTAAGCTGAAAGCTAATTGGTTAATTAATTCTGACACATGAGTGTACACCTGAAAATTGAGTAATCTCTGTCTGTTAGATATTGGCTTATTGGAAAAAAATTGCCACTTCGAAGAATAAAAATTTCTTTAAGGGGGAAGGAACTAAAATTCAATGCGATTAAATGCTAAATTATACAACAGGTTTAGAGAAACCTTTAGGATAATTTATTTGCATGGTACTCTTAATAAATTTGGATAATTGATGTCACTGAAAATCACTTGTACATTAGAGGTATGTCTCATAGAAAGGACTTCTACTGAAACTTCATTAAAGCAACAAAAAAATTCATGGCGTATTATCATATCAGTTTTATTTTACAGGTTTTCATCAGATTCAGACTACATGAAATTACAAGAATTGTAAAATTTTCAAAAGAATGGATACTGAACAAAGAGTACTCTTTTCGATAACTTCATCATCAGGCTCTACAGTTATATATACATTATAGTAAATGAATGAATTAGTGTTATGAACAACATCAATGTTTAAATAACATGGAATCAATAATATTGATAGATTACAGCTCAATAGCATCAACATAAAATAAGCTGTATGTCAGAAAAATCAGGAAAGATAATATTACAAATCCATGCGTTTATAGTTTCTACTGAAGGCCAGGGCAGTAGTAGGGGCTGGACTTGCTTCTTTTGGATACAGAGCACTGGTTGTTTGAGGAGAATTGCAATAGCCTCTGCTGTTTGAAGTATGCGGTGCTAGAGTATGGTAGGGAGAATTTTGCATAACATAAATTTTGGAATGATGAAGAAGAAAATGTTTTAAATTAGGGTGCTCAAAACTTAAACATCACAACTTTTAGTCCAAGTCATCATCAACTTATGTGGATTGCAGAGTAGAAAGATACTGATGACAGCGAAGTGTTGATTATCGAATGTCACAAGTTAAAATACACGGAATATTTATTGCTCTCTGAGGTTTTACAATATGACATAATTACAAACAGTTATGAAGTTGAATCAAACACCGGCAAGTTAGGAAGTGGGTGCAGCACAAACCACCTGTTGGACTAGAATTTAGTGGGACATTATTTCATTTTTCGCCAACTCATTATATGACACCATTGTATTTCACTGGGATTTGTGATTATATATCCTCGAAGCTGGATTACCTGAACCACGATGGTAGCGGCTTTGCATAAGAATCTTCGGAAATCTATTTCTATGTTCTTCATTAATGATATTGTATATATGGATATTCGTCAGTAGTACAAAACACCGCCTTCATTTTATTTTGTTGCTTTAGCAACAACTTGATTAGTGGCATAGCTTATGATGTTCAGGTCCTACTTATAAACGTCAGACTTTATTATATAATGGATTATCTCTGAGTAATTTAAGTTTACCATCTTATATGGTACTTAACTATTTGTATACTGATTCAGTGTGCTTGAAAGAAACTGTCAGTTCGACTCTAAAATCGAAAAAAGTCCCAAATCTGAAAGATAACTGATGAAGATTTTAACAAGTGTAATTGGACATTTTCTTATTGTTATGGATGTGCTTCTATATAACCGATAATCAAACACTCCACGATTAGATTACTAGAATATACCATGTTTAATTTGTAATAAATAGTAGTCATTGATAATTTTTTAAAGATTAATAATGAGTAAATTTGAATCTACATACGTTAATCCTGAGATTTATCATCTTTGTATTAGTTATAAGCATTTATTGGTAATAGCATTCAGTGCCTATGTTTTATTACAAGTCTAAAGAACTTTGAAAACTCAGCTGAATAATATTATGAAATCTTTCCTTCATGGTAGATTTTGTCAAGAAGTGATATCATCTGAAGAACCGTTGAAAACTAAGGTGCACTGGACAACCGTTTAGTCCTAGTTTGCGAATCTTTGACTTTGGGGACCACAACATAATCGGGGAATGAACTAAAGACTTTCAGGTTCTAAGGTGAATATATATATATATATAAGTTTGAGATATAGTACCATCGTAATCCAACGTTAGTCGCTAGAGTCTGTTCTGACATGTTATTCAGTGGGCCACACCAGTCACTCTCAGTTCGTGATGATATCAATCAAATAACTGCAAAGAAAACTCCTGAGAATAGGTTTTTCTTTCCTGAAAAAATTTAAGCCAAAAATTAAACGCTGCTCAATGCTAACCACTACTAAAGGGATCAATAATGGATATTTTGTGATTAAAATAAGCCATATGTATATTTCTTTTAATAATACTTTAAGGAAAATGACCTGGGTGCAGTAAAGTGAATACGTAATGAAATGCACATATATACAGTGAAATTGATAATATTTATCCAGACATTTTTAAGTCTATGCTTAATTTAATTATATTTATATGTTCCTAGCAGCAAATTTCGAGGATAAAGAAGACTTATTTACAGCACTTTTAATACTTCATCTATTCGAATTCATGATGGAATGGTTTCAGCAATAAAGTGAATTTAGTAAGAATTTGGAAACTCCAAGTAAATTCAGATCTCAATGATTCTTTCGTTTGTGTTGAATAAATTCGAGTTCTCTGTTGACAAGACCGACAACAGACAATTAAAACCTTCCTGTACTCCTTAACAAACTCCATGTGAATGCTGAGCTCCATTTCTGGAGGACCTAGCTCAACTGGTAGATCATTGAGTTGGTAATGAATAAACTCAATACAATATCCTCGTACTTCGCTTTTCAGTTTTTCTGTCTCATAAATATTACCTTGTAGCGTATATCTTCAGAGGATATATCTTCGTTACTATCTATTTTCCAAATTTCAAACTGTAAATAACTTCAAAAGCTTATCTGACTCTCATATATTTTTTTACAAATAATCTGATATATAAGGTTTTATAAAGAATATGCATTTCAGGGCAAGAATGACCAAAAAACGTCTTGATCTAATTGAAAGAAATACCATGCATTATACAAATGATAAAATGCATATATTATTATCAGCAACAAAGATCTCTGGGAGCGAACCAACCAGGAACCGATTGTGAAACAAATAGGCAGGAAGAAATTGAAATGGATTGGTCACACCCTGAAGAAACCATCAAGCGACATCACTAGACAAGCCATTGCTCGAGTGGAACCCGAAAGGGAAACGGCGAGTTTGTCGTCCAAGGGTGACCTGGAGGAGGTCATGCGAGGAGGAGATGCAAGCATGTGGGCAGACTTGGAGCGGAGTGAAAAAGTTAGCAGAAAATCGAAGGCAATGGAGGTATGCAGCTGAAGCCCTATGTTCCTCTAGGAACTAAAGGATATAATAATAATTATTATCAGTTGTGTTCATCGGTTAGGAGAAAAAAATTGGATCCAGTCTTCCTCTGATCGTTTTCATTTCTTATTAGCAGTTGTATAATTTCGGCAGGAAATCATAGTTCGTATATTTCATATCACATGTATTGAGTAATTATCACTGAGAGTTATGTTTATTTTTTGCTTTCCGACTAGACAATAGGGCTTCAAGCTTTGAAGTTCCAGCTGTAGTGATGTTTGTTCTACTTGATGGGTTTATTGGACTTATATGTAAACTTCTCTCTTTTCCGTCTTAACCACTGGTTAGTCGATGTTTAGGATTATTGACGAATAATACGAACAAATTCATATACGTCTTTTTACCTGGTTTATTTATAATAGTTTCATAATACCAAATTTGTTAGGTTTGTTATACACTGACATGATTTTTTTCGCAAAATTAAGTACTACACATATAGGTTATTGCAGTGTTACCCTTTGTCGTGGATGGTATTTAAGATGCTTCCTCAGTGTTAGTCAATACCTCTGGCTTTTCTGTTTTAAAAAGTGTTTGCTGGATGGCAGTGATAGTCGTTTACAACATGTCTGATACTCTCAAGTACTATTTTTAATTTATAGTGGTCTGAATAGTAATGTACCCCCACTGAATCGGCTGTGTTCTCTGAGAAGCTGGTTGGTTTAATTGCGAAGTTTCGTTGTTTCTCCTTCTAGACAACATCTTCAGAACAGGTTGTAGTATAAAATGAACTCATTCTCCATGCACTAACTCAGCATAAGCAACAGGATTCGGATTTTCAACACCAATATCAAGTCGATCCTGCTATACGGGTCAGAAACTTGCAGTGTAAGTCATAAAAAGAATTTCTAACAGGTCGCAGACTTTCACCAACTGCGGCCTTCTATGGATCAGCGATGAAGATCAAATGGCTAGAAAGAGTTAGTAACAAGAAACTCTGCAGTGGAATGAACCAACAGGCTAGTGCCGATTGCTCAAGAAATATGTAGGAGAAAATGGAGATGGATCGTACATACATTGAAGAAACCGTCGATTGACATCGCGCGACAGGCCGTTGCTCGAGTGGAAACTAAATGGGAAGCGACGAGTGGGTCGTCGGTGTGAGGGTGGCATGGATGAGTCGTTCAAGTTGGAGGAGATGAAAGATTACGGGCAATTGTGGACCCAGCTGAAGGGGAGAGAAGAAAATAGAAGAAAGTGAAGATGTGTTGTTGAAGCCGTATGTTACACTTGAAACCCAAGGGAACAATAGTAATTCAGTTGAGTACCAGGCCTCTAGGAATTCCCTGGCAATAAACACTACACTCGTAAAGTGGGAGTCCACTTCAAATATGAATCCAAGATCACACATTATTGTAGAAAGATATGATATTTATTCTTTCGCATCATCACATGTGGATTTTAATGGACACCAATTTGATTGGATAATGAAGGAATTTTAGATAGAGAAAGCACCAAAAATGCAGTCAGGGAATTCTTAGAAGTCTGGTACACTCATGTGAATCAGCTAGTGATTAACAAACACATACTATCATAGACCAAATCTACCAGCTAATAATAAGTAAATCACATGACATGCAAGTTCAAATCCCAAGTCAATAAAAGTGATCAATCGAGACGTAAATTAACAA